CGCAGAAAAGAAATTAATAAAAAATCAGCGCAAGGGGAAAAAGGGGATTTGTGAAGGTATCATCTCAGACAGATGCCACTTCTAGATGCATGATGTGCACTTTGCCAAGAAAACTAAATCTATTACCAGCAATCACACAGCATACAAGTCTTCACAGATAAAGAAAACTTAAAGGAGCAATTGACCAATGATTGGTACAATTTGAGGATGACACTCTAGATAAGTACTAGTACAATTAAGTGCTGAATCACATATTATGATGAGTAGAGAGGTTTATACGACTTGTCCAAGTCCATGGCGGCTAATTAATGTGGCAGCGATGGATCATTTTCTTGGCGGTATATTTCGCTATTTATCACGAACACCATCAATTTTTAACCGGCTCAAAATTTCACATATGTTCAAATCTCTTAAGTTCAGTTGAATTTTTCCTAGAGTGCTTCAAATTCAATTTAATTTGTTCTGGATTTGAATTTTGCCTGGGCAGCATTTTGAAGCCTCTCAGCGCAACCAAGAAGTGCATATGTGATATGCCTACAGCCAACTGTTGAATGCATATATGACGATCCCTAGATCCCGGCTCCGCCACTACTACTATCTCTTTTATAGTTAACCATCGATACTTATAAAAACAAATCAATCACGGAAAATCATTATTAGTCGTTCAGACTTACGACGCCGCTCACTTAACCACTGCATGATCATTGAATAGTCAAATTAATTAAAGAACGTTTCATGCACGTGTGCATGTCATGTACTTCTATAGTATTAATCGGCGTTTAAAGAGAGAAGACAATCTCGCACAGTGTGTGATCGCTATCGATCGATCACAATTCACAACCGCACGAGATCATTCCATACCCGAGCTGCTTGCAAACGTGCGGATCTCTCGATACATATGTGATCTCGGCCGACACTAAAAACTACAAAAACCACCCCAAAGGTCTGAAGTTTGACATTTCAACCCATAAAACATTTTGTTGAAAATACTCAACCCTATTTGTTTTTTTTTTCAAAAGCCATCCCAGTGCGCACATGCTTAATCGAATCTATATGTTTTCATAAATTGTGAGGCGTCTATGTGATCTTTACCAAAACCAAATATTTCTAGGAGTATAGTCTTAATATGTTTTGAAGTTTGCATAAATTGAATTGTTAATGAGAGCTTGAATGTTGTTGTACCAATTTTGCTATATGTAGAAAAAAATCAATGAAACATAAAGCTTAGCCTGTGATGGCTCTACATCAATATTAACAGGTTGACTCGGTTAATCCGTGTACGCAGGGGTGGTTTTTGCAAAAATAAAAGAAATAAAAGAGAGAAGGGATGGTCATTTGTAACAAAATAACTTATGGGGTGAAATATTAAACTTCAAGTGACTTCTCATATGGTTTTTGCAAGTTTTCCAAGTCTTATAGACGTTTTTCAGCTGCATACATGATCTAGATCGATCCATGCACGCTTATTTTCTAAGAAGAAAAAAAAGGTGTGTTCTGCCTCAAGTTTTAATTAATTTGCTATCTGCTGGAGACTTTCTTGTTTGTGATTACATAGAATACGCCATCGTATGCACGTGCAGCATATGCATATATACAATGTGCTAGGCCCTCTTTTACACGTCTTTAGGAGATGGACGCAACTTGTAAAATGTAGTCTCTCAACTCGCAAAACACAAAAGGGAATTGAACCAGCTTGAGCTAGGTCCCAGACGCCCGATTTTCCCTTGCTAACTACGCCGCCAATGAGTAAGTTGGACGGCGCCTGATCATTTGGGGCTGGATCGATTGGGAGCTTCAAGGCTATCATTTTCCAAGGGAACCTGTAATGTATTGTGAAAGTTTTCCTTGGTCAAATGCACATCAGATGCACATCAGTTCCTCAGTAAAATATATAAGGGAAAAAATCATTTGTAATCTTAAACTCTTAAATAAGTCTGGTCTGAAAAACCAACTTTTAAATTCTAAACCCACACTGTTTAATCCACACTGTTCATATTTCAAGCCAACCTGAATCTAGAGTGATTTAGAATGGGAATAAGTCTATTTTGCCTCAATCATCTTTTGCTCCTAGTTGAATCGCATCGTTCAACGGTAAAACTGGGTATAATGTCCCCCCTATCTTCGAAAACCAGTGCAAATAGACTGCTCAGTGATTTGGGAAGTGGTTTTTTTTGCTGATGTGGCAGGTTGACTGCGGTTGACTTGATGAGTCAGTAGGTGGGACCAACATGTCATCCTTCGCTCTTCTCTCCCTCATATGTCTCTCTCCCCTTCCAGCACGGTGATGGTGCCCGGATCGGCCACTCCCAATCTTGTCTCACACTCGCAACTCTGGCAATGGTGTCCGGATTGGTGGCATACGGCAAGAAGCCCTCGACGGACCTCGGCCGGCCTCTCCTCCCGCCATACAGCCTAGCGCCTACGCGCCACCAATGCTCATTTTCGCCCCAGTCCTCGTCCGCCTCCACCCGTGCTGTGCCCTTACCTCCACGCGTTCTCCCCTCTTCATGTTCCAGCTCCTCTTCCTCGCGCTCCACACCAGCCTCGCCTTCCTCTTCAACACTTCCGCGCCCATCACCTCTGTGGCCAAGCTCCGCATCGCCTACTTCCACGTCAACAACTCCCTGTTCCCAGCTGTGGACCTCACGCTCTGCTTCAGTGTCCACAACCTCGGCCTCGTCCTCCTGCTTCGGTACTGTGCGGTATCCGCCGCTGTCTCCTACCACAGCCACCTCGTTGTCTCCACCAACATGAGCCCTGGATCTGCGCACCCTGGATGCAAGCTTGATGCTGGAGGTGATCTCATCACGTGAGGAAGAGGAAGACTGGAAGACTCAAGCGAAAGCAATTAGTTTACAAGGAAGAGGAAGACCTAGGTAGAGATGAAAACGGAGCGGGGATAATGCTCATACCATATTTGTTTTCATATTTTTTTTGTTGGATATGAAAACAAATACGAATAGCTCGGATACGGAAATAAATACGAATTATCTCGAATACGAATAAGGATCGAATATGATTGGACATAAATATGGAAACATTTTTTTCTCGAACACGAAAACCACCTCAACTTCTAATATAAACAAATATCATCATATATAATTAGTTCATTTTATATAAAATATAGTATAATTATAAAAATATTTAAAAGTTTCAATAATATTAATGGTGTGGACTAGTGTTAAGAAATGGACTAGTACTAAAATTTAGAAAGATAGATTGGAGGTTGTAGCGATATAAAGAAATGGGGTATGACTCATGACTTCAGTGGATATCCGAATAGCACTGTTCACCGGATATCCATATCCGTCGAAAACCCTGATACCATATCCGGGAGAAAATATATGTATTTGTATCCGAATGTTAACAGTGAAATTTGGTAAGCCCCTAAGAGAATTATCACATCGCCAATAGTCGGATTCCTGATATATTCGGTTAAGGAAATTAATCAATTAAACGAAGCTTATCCAGAAGTGACCGAGTTCAAGGAGGATGTGGCGCGGCAAGTTATCTATTAATTAGGAATAGTTTGTTAGTTTTCTTTTATCTTTAGGAAAGTGAGTTTAGTATCCTATAAGGACTTTATGCTTTCCTTTTGTCTTTAGGAAAGTTTCTTTCTTGTCCTACAAGGACTAGTATCTCCCCATGGGTATTAATATGTACACCCGGGGTTATTGTAAACTATCTTCATGATCAATACAATTTGGCGCATCGCCACTTTTTACCTTTTCTACTTTATTTTATCGTCCAGCGGGAATTGGCACTTGACGCGGGGCTGCATCAGCATTCGATCTTCAGTGAAGGGGTAAGTCCAATGTTCCGCTGGCCCAAGCAATTGTCTCGTCTACGTCGGCGTTGTTCAAGGCTGCATTAGTACATTTGACCTGTTGGATTGCTCCGGTTTGGATGATATATTTGTCTGCCTATTTATCATATGTCTTAGTTAATCTAGTCTTAGTATCTCAATTTAGCTCTATCGGTTGTCTCTCGCTTTAGGGTTTCTACCGATATCGGCTAAATCGTCTAACTAGATTAGATTAGCTAAGGCATCTACCACCCTAAAAATCAGTCAACGGCTTGATTGTCTAGATATTGTATTTCTTTTCATACTTAGTGTTGCATCAATTAAGTTTGATCTACTAAGTCGTGTTTAGAACCATAATCCCTAGCCTGCTTTTTTACTGCCAATAAGGGTTTCATATCGGGGTTTCAGCTGATGAGTTATCTGGATGTTGCGTCGGTTGATAAGGATTACATATAAGTTGGATTTAGCCGATGGCAACAAAGATTTCACCGTTTAATCTAATCTATGGATTTTATGACATCAGACTCTAACTGATGTATGCTTTAACCTTTGGATCATTGATTATTCTCTCATCTCATTGTTAGCCAATTGGTTTTTACTTTATTATATTATTATTTTATTACATCATCATCAGCCGATTGCCTTTATATTGGTATTTACATCAAGTGTCAGAATATACATTGGACATATGGCCGACAGCTCGAAACCCTATTGCTATCGGCTAGTATCGGCTATCGGCTGGAATTATTCCATCGGCTTGTCAGCCGATCGGCTATTTGATCTGCTGTTTACATATCTTGTCAGATGCAGGATCAAACTGACTGGCACGCCCGCATCTCATCAACCTTTGGTCCAACACTGGAGCTAAGCAGATCTCCCAGGCCAGTGTGTGTTTTTCGCATAAACATCGAACTATCCTAGAATTATCCGCTCCAAAAGGTATCTACATTCGTTTTTCTTCGGAGCGGACGGAAACTATTCGCTCTGTTTTGATCCCTAGACCTAGACCTAGGGGGCTTATGTCCTCATTTCACTCTTTTTTATCGTACGAGAAGCCCTTCGTGGACAGCGTGACGATGGTCGAGATCGAGCTTGGTCCTGTGGGCGTGCACGGACAGCGTGGCGTCACCATGCTTCCCTCTTCCCTCGCACGCACCAGCGGCCTCGCCTGGAGGGGTCAAATGATGGGGTTTTGGGTACGCTCTAGCAGCGGGAGGTGTTCCTGCTCAAATCCTTGCCTCCAGGGTGAGGGCCATAGATGTGTCCCTCACCTTGGAGTCTCTGATGGTCTCCGGTGATCTGTACTTCGTCGTTGGTAAGGATGGAGAAAAAGTATGTGTGGATTAATTTAAATTTGCTCGAAAATTTGTTTCAACATTTTGAAAATCTATTGAATTTTGTTTGGAATCAATTGTCAGGTTCCGGTGGCGTGGCTCGTCGGCAGGACTGGCCTGCTCTACTTCTCAGCTCACTGGTGCAGTCCATGCCGGAAATTCCTCCCTAAGCTCATCGAGGAGTACATCAAGATGAGGGAGGAGACAAGCAGTGACGTTGAGGTCGTCTTCGTCTCCAACACCGACGGGCAGGAGAAAAGGAATTGTCATGTGAGGCCCACCGCATATATTTTGTCATTTTTCACTGACATGTGAGCCCCATCAACAAAAACCTTCTAAACGGAGTTTATTTACACCGCTTTGTAAGACGGGAGAGATGTTATACCCGGATTCGGGGTTGAGCCCATCAACAAAAACCGTTTCCTAAACCATCGAAGGAGTTTAGCTTTGATTTTACGACTCAACTATGAGCCAGAGATGAGAGAGTGAAAATATACCTATTTCCTTTTGGATGACAGCTCACATGGCAAGGTGGCCCAAGACCGAGAGGCCCTATTGAAGGTTTATGGATTGAAATGGGCTGAAAATTCCCAACATTAAGTTTATGATTTAAATGGGTTGAAAAACAATTTTCTAAACAGCCATTATGTAGGGTTAATACTAAAAGCAATCCCTGCACATTGAGGCTAGTGGTTTCCCCACTTTCTTTTCTCTAGTTTTATTATTCTTAGACGTTTTAGATAAGGTCGTGATAAAAAAAAGAACTTTGACTACCTATATCTTTTAATATATTTATTAATATATTTAGTTTGAACACACTATAACTATTTACTCTTCAGCCTTCCTATCAACTTGTGTTCTCAGACGTCTTGGTAGATGGTTTTCGCAATTTACAAAAATATTTCATTGGAAAAACTTTTAAGTTTTAATGAAACAAATCTGACTTATTATGGAATTAATTATGCTTATCTTGGTAATGATAATTCTGAAGGAGAAGGGAGTTTCCACTTTTTCCGGGGTGAAAGAAGCATTCTGACGACAAAGTTGGGGAAGAAAACGGAAAACTAAAACTCATTTGATAAGTGAATAAGAAGATATATATATATATATAGTCTTTGCAATTGGACACTGATGAATACGATAATAATCATATGTTATTCATGGAGATCGATATAAGAACACTGAGATGGCACAAGGACAATATTATTCTACCCCTGGTCAGGAGTAACAACTGCAACGCTTAGTTTTCTTAACCGATGCCATTTCAGCACTTAGAAGCTAATTAAAACATTATTAGTCTCTTACAAGGGTAGCAACAACGGATGATGGTAGCAGCATATATATGGAGCTAATTAAAAGCGGCAGAGAATTAATTATTGGAGATAGATAGATTGGACGAGATGACGCGGTTGCAGCTATGCTTGCGATAGCCATGTAGCTATATCAGTCGAAGCTTGGGTCATCGTTGCTCGTGTATCCAGCAACATCGTCAACGTCGTCAGCTGCAGCAGCAACGCCATCGTCAGCAGCAGCTCCATCTCCATCTTCGTCAGCAGTAGCAGCAGCAGCCGCGTTGTCCTCTTCCTCCTCCTGATAATCATTTTCTGCAACCAACTAATTGGCATTAATTTTGGATTGAAAAAGCAGTAATTAATTAACACATCCTCCAAAAGAGTGAAAAATAAAATGCAATCCATATTTGCAAGAATCATATAATTGATAATAAGCTAATTTGAGATCTTGCTTGATATGGAAGTAGTATATAGGAACGAGAAATGCTTGTGATTAATTAAGTTAATATACATATTGTTTCACGCACCATTCTGTTGTTCTGCAGGGACAATGTAGATCTTTTTCACTGTAGTGGTGAAAACCCTGTAACAATAATGTTAAATTGTTTTTAGATATAGTGTGTAATAATATTAAATTGATACTATTTTCGTCACGATGAATATGGTTATCAACTATCAGGTTCGAGATAAGAAACTATAGAAGATCATCTACGGATAAAGATGAAATTAAAGGACTTACTCCCATGGGACATCACCAAGGAAGTAACGAACACCATCCATATCATCATACAAGAGGTCAAAGTCGCTGTCTATTGCACCATCTTCTTCCTTGTTCACCAAGCCTTCAAGTTCAAATGGTGACACTAAGAAATTGAGGTGTAGTTAATTAACAACCAAATATTACAAGGTTATATTCTAGTGTCGGAGATTGCTTATATTTCTGTGATATAATCAATAAATACAAGGTTGTTTACTATTCCACAAGTGTTTATACTTGTTTATAACTTGTAAATAATATTTTGTTCCAATTCAAGCAACCTTATTAATTTGTCGACCACCCTAGAAACACAAATTGGAACAATCTAGCTAGGTGAATAAAAACAATTGGAATTTGATGTACATATATTTAGACTGTAATAACTGATAAATTAATTATTCATTCCCCATATATTTGCTATAGTCATGTTAAGACATGCTTCTTTCAAACAAGTGTAATAAGTCTATTAATTAGATCCAAAATGCATCATTATTTCTCCTATATGATAGGCACTTACAGCACAAATAACTTTATGAACAGATCACTTTTTATGTATGGATGCAATATATTGAAACAGACTTACTGGAATAGTTGTTGCCCAATTTTTTTAAAGTGAAGGACAAAGAGTCATAGTTGTTATGGAGAGCCAAATTGATCTTCCTCCCAAAGGGTTCCCCATGCATGAAAACCTTCACAAATCTTGATGGTGATAATCCTGGCTTCACCACAGGCTCAGCAGAAGCATTCCTATCCTTCATCCTACTCCTTATCAATCTGATTTGGTCTCTGAAAAAGGAGACAAGCATAAAACGTGGTTGTTAGATTGAACAACTTGTATCAAAGATATTAGAGATAGAAACATGATGGAAGTAAGCGGGGAAACAAAATTGAAGAGGAATAAAACTGCAAGATCTTAAGAGTTCTGCCTACATTATAATACAGAAACTCTATGAAAGCTGACCACAATAGGCTTACCTATTGGTATGCCAACAGGGGGTATTTATACTACACTGAAGAGATATTGGAGTTAAGGAATTAATAAGTGCATCTATTATCATCTAAAAAAATAGGTGCACTTATAATTGTTGCACTTCCATCCTTGGAAAGTATAGTATTTAAGAAAATGTATGTAAAGCTCATTCTACACTTGCTACCCTAAAGTGAAAAATTAGAGTCTAATACACACTATTCCACAATCATCATATTCTTGAAGTTAATTCTTCGCATAATGTTTAATGAGTAAAAAAAATTCTTGAGGTCCAAAGTGAAACTTTGACATAAAAATGTGGCCTAAATTACAATTCACTCACTTTAGTTTGTATCCTGGTGGTTCATATACCATCCTAGTGTTGGAAATATGAGCCAAAATTAGTAAAAAAAAATCCAAGCAACTTCACATCATCGAAAGGATGGGGTGGTTATAAGATAAGTTTCCATTATCCCAAACTCTTAACAAGTATTTGAACCAAAAGGCAAAACAAACAAAATTGAGGTTTTGATTGGTTTTTTTATAATCCATTCAATGAGGGAGATACATATGTGTGTGACTAAAAATATAATATCCATTGATATATAGAGGGATGCAAATCTATCACCAAAATTAAATGTGTTTTTCAAACAATACAAGTATGTATTTTGTTTTGCAATTTTTTTTTGTATGTTGCATTTATAGTACATATATCAATTGCTGACTTTCATGAATATAAAAATAGTTGCATGTTCTATACTTTTGATAAAACAATATCTTTTGGATTTTCACAAGTCATTTCCCTTGAATTCTTTCTAGATATGCTAACACACTAATATTTGTGTAGTAGTCCATAAATTGTGTTTGGAGGGGTAACGCACTGTTCTAGAGAAATATTACTTATGCTTTCTTTTGGTAGTAATAAATGCGTAGAAATTATCATGGTATCCTTACCTAGTTTGGAATTTTTCCCTTTTTATCCTAGTGATTAAATTCAACAGTTCCTACATGTAGCATGGCACAATCCCCACTTAAGCAAAAATCAACGCATTCAAAATATATATTGTTCTTGTTTTGTTGGGTAGGGCACAACCTCACATCTCAACGAAACAATATAGCATAACAATATTTCTTAAAAGTAAATAGCATTGAATGAGAATGTAGATAGATATGATTATGTTGCCATCATAATTTAAAAAGCGTACGATGTGTTGGTCATATGTTTTTGTCAAAAAATGTATGGATCATATGAATTTTTGAGAGATATATGAAACAAGTATAGCAATAGTTTGTTAATATACTTTAATAATGCTCTCCAAGTTATTGCATACATTAAGTATAATGCCTACAATTGATCATAGTTAATCTACATGATTATGGCAGTCAACGTTTTTGACAAAGTCAACTTTGTTGGTTTGAAGGTAAAATAATATAAGCAACTATATGAAGAGAAACCAACTCAAGTAGATCTATCTGATAACAAAATAATAGCATAAAACAGATGTAATTATATAATATTATTGATATTAAAGGGATCACTACTACACAACTACAAAGCAAAACTATATAATGATGAACGACTATCCTCAACTGTAAGAGTATTCTAAAGAACTATGGTATGGGACATATATGCTAGTAATTAAGAGAGTAAATTTCATAAAACCCCAGGTTTTGAGACAACTACAGCATAAAACCTCAGATTTGTTTCGAGGAACCCGAGATTTTGGGGCAAAATGTTTCAAGAAACCCCATGTTTAAATCAAATACTCATAATTTCATTATTATATATGATATATTTAGTATATACATTAACAAACTCAAAATACATATACCTCTTGTGCACTTTATTGTCTTCCTCACTCTTGCATTACACCATTTAAAAAGTGCAACACAACCCCTTAATAGTTACACATTAACCAGTTCCTTAGACACATAAACAGCCATACTACCAATAACCAATGCTCGTTAAAATAAGTCCAACATGTATATTAGGAATGTCTCTTATTATTTTTTTTAAATTACTATGCATACATATATTAGTCAAAAAACCGATTTAAGCTTAAGCGTGGGGTTTGTTGAAACATTTTGCCCCAAAACCTAGGATTATTCAAAACAAATCTTAATACCTGGGGTTTTGCATTACGGGTGCCTCAAAACCTGGGGTTTTGTGAAATTTACTCTAATTAAGAAGAATAACACATAGATCAAAGAGGATGCATAGAAAATATATGAACCTTTGCATCGGTGAAGTCCTTCTGAAGTAGGCTTTATATAGTTTGCCATCTATAATATGAAATAGCAACATTTGTTATCATACCTTGACACAACTTATTTTGATACAAACTAATTCAGAGATTATCTTGCCACCAAAAGTACCCACCCCACCCCTACCCTGCCTCATCCCCAGCCTCCTGGTTGGCTCCTTCCCCAACTACGGTCAGACTATGCATGTACCATATTGCAATATCTCAAGAAATTAGAGGAAAATATAACTAGAACTGGTGTGTGTAAAAATATATCATACCTTGATGACGTTTCTCCTGATTCAATGTGGAAAAGATAACCTTTTCACAAAGAACATCCAAATTGTCCGATGGGCTTCTTCCCCACAACGATCAGACAAAGTGCACAAATAGATTGATGTGTAGGTTGCCAGCATTTTTTTTTAAGAATAGATAGAAATCCGACCTCTATATCCATATATGGCCAAACGTGATTGTGGGCCTCATAACTTAGGGACAAAAAAAAAGCTAAAAGACTAAGAAAGAAAGGTAAAAGACTTACTTCAAATCTTCTTCTATGTCCTTGCTTTAACCTTACTCTATCCTTCTGTAGCAACAATTATGTTTTCTACTAGAAACTTTGGTATGAGAATGACCCTATTAGAAATGGATCATATGTTGCTTGCCAAGCTCTATTGCACAGAAATCTCACAAAGACATAATCGCCACCAACACAATCACTCTCCGACCTCTTCCAACGCAACGAACAACCATTAATCATCACTTATTGCCCCTCATAGAGCTCCTCGTCGCATGTGGTCAAACAAACAAGGGACGAAAAGGATGGATCTAGCCCCCCTGCAACCACCATGCCCTCCCGCTGCCACCACTGCCTCCTTTCGATGGATCCAACTATGGACGTAGGGAAGGAAGGAACAAAATTATCCCTCTGCACCGCCATGCCGCCTAGATGCCACAGGCTTAATCAGCAATGGAGAGCACCCAACCTTCCAACCATGCCAGCACCCTACGTGCCATCCAATGGCTGGCTGACCAAGCATTGTCCACTTTGCTGCCACAGACGCCCTCTGGTTGGCAGCTCCACAAGCCACCTCGCTCCATCCACCGACCGACTTCCAACATTAGTAGGTGCCGCCGCCATCCTCACACGAACCAGCCAGCCTCTGCCACATGTGGACTAGCCTGCCTCCACCACCACAGTCCTCACAAGCGCTGGCCCTCCGCTAGGCAGCCACTATCGGTCATCCCTACTCTCACCATGAGCCAACTAGCAGTCGATAGTAGATCTGGATCTGGATCTAGAGAGAGAGAGAGAGAGAGAGAGAGAGAAAGAGCGAGCAAAAAAGGAGGAAGAAGAGAGGAGATGAAAAAGAGGATAGAGGGAGGAAGGGGATGGCACGCCGCCAACACCATGCACTGTTGGTAGTAGCGTCGCCGCCAGGGACGAGATGGGATGGTGCGGTGGTGGTCTGGTGGTGTTTGGCGTCGCCTCCTTGGTCGCCCCTACGAGCAACATAGAAATAGGGGATGAGCCAGATAGATAATATTGATGAAACGTTAACAACAGACATATATAGGCATAGTTATCAATGCTCGGTAATTCCACCTCATGGGAATCATATCCAACTATGTTGTGGAGGTAGTTAGGGGGTGGCCAGGTTGACAAAATGAAGAGCCATAACCTTATATTCTTCATCTTCACCACAAAACAAAATAAAGTAGTTATGTTTTTTTGCTGTAATTTTAACAAGGTTTGTGTATCCGCAAGCTAGGATGGTAATATATTTAAAAGACTCTAGGGCATAATAGCATATATATGTTTATTTTAAAACAAAAGATCATTGAAATTTTAGGATGTACCTCAAATATATTGTATAGTTGATATTTGCTTGAGAAGTTATTGTGTTTTGATATGTGACGATTTGTGGTAGAGAACACATTCTTCTATATATAGTAAAAGTGGAAACACACATAAGGTTTTCTCTTTTTTATAAGACAATTTGCCTCGCAATATAGAAATACTGTTAATAAAAAGTTGTTATGTTCTAGTCAAGTTGGATAAACTTGGTGTACTGTAATGGTAGTTGAAAAGAGTGGCCACAATATGTATAAAACCTGCAATCACCCATATGAACTGAATATACAAAGTATTGAAGATTTATTTTTGGCATGATTTAACGAACCATCTTACAACCTAGAACTTTTACATAAGTATGCATCCCCAAATTATTTAAACCCTTCGTGTTTCAACATTGGTCCAGATTTATGATAGTTTTTAAAATTTTAAATTAACAAGCGACTTGGAAAATATATAAACATTGTGATAATTTCTTTGAATTATTTGTAACATATAAAGATCTGGTAATTAAGTTCAAAATAACTAATAATTGGAGTGCAAAATTGAATTGATATGAAAGAAAAGTCATTTTTGTAAGGTAAATAAATTTTAATTTATTATAAGTTAGGTTGTATGCTCACATGTCCAAAAGTGTTTCTTTTCAACAATTGTTTGAAGTCGTGTAGTAATTTCAGAAAATAAAACGGCATTTCAGCTTTGTCTAAAGTTTCTGAATTTTGATAAACTACAAAGCCAAAGTTTTTTTTCCATGAAATTGTGGGCCTGTGCACACAAATGTGCTTGTGTTACAAATGACTATTAGTAAAAAACTATAATTATTCCCAAACTTTTATGCCACTTACTAATTTCAAAGATGCAAAAATCATTTTTGTCTCAAAATGCATGGGCGCATCAAAGCTTGCACCTC